CCTCCGAAAGGACTCGACCAGAACTCGACGAGGAATCGACCTCCGAAAGGACTCGACCAGAACTCGACCAGGAATCGACCTCCGAAAGGACTGGACCAGAACTTGACCAGGAATCGACCTCCGAAAGGACTGGACCAGAACTTGACCAGGAATTGACCTCCGAAAGGACTCGACCAGAACTTGACCAGGAATTGACCTCCGAAAGGACTCGACCAGAACTCGACCAGGAATCGACCTCCGAAAGGACTCGACCAGAACTCGACGAGGAATCGACCTCCGAAAGGACTCGACCAGAACTCGACCAGGAATCGACCTCCGAAAGGACTGGACCAGAACTTGACCAGGAAGCGATCGCTTACCAGGTGACTATATTTGATCTTGACGTGAATTGTGTTAATGAGAGCACGGGAGAAAACTGCACTGATAACGGAAATGTCAATTCAACCAAGAACAATGGACAGTCAGATACCATTGGTTCGAGTGACTTGCAACCGGAACACTTTCCCATAACCACTGGAAATCACACGACTCAGGACTTGGTCGCAAGTAACACTTCGATTTGTATGAGTGAGTAGAACAATCGTATTCGTATATTATAGATATTAAACTTTTTGCAAGTTTAAAATAAGCTGTTCAGAAGTTTTTGAGATGTAGTCTATGTTTATGATAGGTTTTTGAGTTTGATACTTTCATCAATGCCCCCCCCCCCCTCCTCATCAATGCCCCCCCCCCCCCTCATCAATGCCCTCCCTCAGAAATTTTTAAGATATAGTCTATGTTTATGAGAGGTTTTTGAGTTTGATACTTTCATCAATGCCCCCCCCCCCCCCATCAAAAGAGTCCTGGACACCTCAATAGCCCTCATTATTCAATCAAACACGGGTTTAATCAAAGACTCTTCTATTAAAGTGTGATTTCCAATGGTTTCAGATTCTTCTGAAGTTCTAATATCGAAGATCTATCAGGACTCGAGCTACGCTTTGCTGCAAGTAATTGTGGCATGTTCTGAACTTGACTTGTCACAGCAAAGTGTGAGGTGCGATAATGTGAACAATGGAGAAAACTGCATCGACAAAGTTGAAGTTCATTCCAATAATGGACAGTCCGCTATCATCCGTTTCAATGATCTAAGACCAGGACAGTTCTACATGGTGACTATCGCCGCTAAAAACACAAAGACTCAGGACTTAGTCGCAAATTACACTGTGATTTTTATGGGTGAGTCGACCAACCGGAATTTGATTTTCGCATTTTGACATCTTTATTAAGTTCAGGAACCCTAGATTTACTTGGTTAGAACTTTTCAAGTTCAAGTTTTTCAAGTTTTGATATTTTTGACACCACATCTATTTTACTCAACTTCAAATGATTTTAAATTTGTTTCAAATGTTGACTTAAAAAAGGAGATTCTGTTTGTCAATACTAGTAGAGTCTCGAAGTTCTAGGACAAAACCATAAGTTAGATAAAAGTAAAACACTCCCTGTGGTTGGATACTCCTACTTATGCGGGACCAACGGTGGTTCAATGAAAATATTCTATAACATGCTGGTTTATTTGAGCTTCATGAAAAACATGCGATTTCCGTTGGTTCCAGATTCTTCCGTAGTTCGAATTTCAACCATCTACCAGGATTCGAGTTCTGTTGTACTGCAAGCAAATGTAAACTCATCTGACCCTGACCTGTCAGTGCGAAGAGTGAGCTGTGTTAACATGAACACTGGGGAAAACTGCAGCGATAATGTCGATGTATTTGACACCAATAACAATGGAAAGTCTGCTACCATCGGTTTGAGCAATTTGCAACCAGAAGAGCTTTACAAAGTGACCATCACTGCTGGAAACAAAAAGATTGAGGACTTGGTTGCAAACAAGACTTTGGTTTGTATGGGTGAGTTGAACTTTGTAAAGATTTTGTATTGGACAATAAAATTGCATTTTGCAATGTCGAACAATTGAATTCTATCAAACATCTCATTTAAAAAAATTTTCCTCATAGCTTTAATTGAATTATTTCTATATTAGACCGAAATGTGGATTTCTTTCAAGTTCAAGGAATTGACAAAAAATAAATTATAAGTTCATTTTAGAACCTCGAAAAAACATCGACTGGTTTTCTCAGTCACAAATTGATGGAACAAACTTGGAGTTGCCTGATTCTGCTGAGAACTATGAAATCAGCTTGGTCCCAACATTCTGCACTGACAACAAAACACTTGTTCATTCTCACTGGGTGACGTCTCTTATAGTATACACAACGAGATCTGACGGACCGCCTCTGAACAGTCATACAATTCGAACTAACGTTTTAATATTTTCTTCACCCCTCCCCGAAGCATTTTGGTTCTTAGATCGATATGTTAGCCAATCAGAATTGAGTGCTTCTACATGTAACAGTCGCCTACTTAAGTCACATATGAGGTTAAAGAAAAATAGGCCCTGTAACCATTGGCTCAAGAGTCAGGGACACTATCTCTTGTGTTTTTCAACCTCGAACGGTCGGAGCCAATTCGGTTCACTTGCGACATGAGACTAAAACCCTCGTCACAGCTTAAAGGCCATTACCAAAATACCCCCCCCCCCCCCCACTCTAGAAAATAAGAACGTCCCCATACGTAGGTCTCAAAATACCCAAAATACGCGAACGCCGTTGAAAACAGGGTCGGAACAGTCCATACAGTTACTTTTTATTAGACAGTGGAACTTTGATCCATTTCAGATAGATCAACCTAAAATTCTCCTTACCTCAACATAACAATCATAAAACACACTCAAGAAAACTAATTTGAGTACTCACATATCTGCACACTCGAGAATAGGAGTAACTAAATTAACTAGCGACTCTAGCATGAATATAATTGAATGAAACTTGAGAAGTTTGCTATTAATGAATTCCAATCAAAGTAAATGAGTTTTCACTTGAGAATTAAGTTTTGAGCTGGACCATTGGGAGACTTCGGTTGTCCACCCTTCCACCGAAGGTTCACTCTGGTCCAGTTGAACTTCAATCTCCTCTTACTCGCGAGTATTTTCTGTCTCATGCCACAAATAAGACAGCTCTACTCTCGTTCGATTAGGTATTGGAAATTTTGAAAAGCAATTTCCCGCTGCTAAATTTGACTACTTTCCCGCGATTGTAATTCGGTCGTTCTGATCTTGTTTTTCTGAGATTTATAGTTGTCGCGAGAAAGTTGAGCATGACATGTTCAATTCGAATTTTTGAAAAATTCCATTTGACCCCAAAATCACGTTGTTCGTCTTGCTCAAGGTCAAACTTCCAAATATGACCGACTGGTACAGACTACCCGGACACAAGATCGATGTCCTTATCGCGTGTCACCGTTTGTCAGTGAATCCCCAGAATTCTGAGTGTTGCTCAAGATACAGTGCCAGTGGTCATTTACAGAAGTTTACAGCAGACTTAAGTTTATCTACACCCCAAAATTCACAACCATGCAAAATTGTCACACTACCGCTAAAGAGCAATCACAATCTGCGTATACTTGCACCCTAAACTTCTGCTTTGCAAACAAATGATTTTAAAATATCTTTTGTCCTATTCAATCAGGAAATTGTCATGCTGCATTTTGATTTATATAATAGGTATAGCATATTAATAACAAAATCTCGTTCGTTAAACTTTCTTTTTCGTGAACTCAAGTTTCATCCGAGTTCACCCTCGAGTCCTTTTCCTTCCCTCTCACGACTCAAGAATCCCTCACTGAGCTACCTGCTCATCTCGCGTTCTTCGCCTTCGAGGTGCTAGGCCCGGATACACTCGACACCGCAATCTGTCTTAACAGTGCTTCCTAATCATCGAAGCTTATCACGATCTCTTCCCAAGCCTTAAGTTGTTCCTATGATCGCATCCACTCCCTCTGTTCCTGCAACCTCTTTGCTTGGTTGGGCAAATCCTTCACCTTCGACTCCCTATTCAAGCAAAAGGAGTTGTGCAGACTCAGACTCACGTTCTTAGCCAAGTCCTCTTCCAGTATTGATTCTCTCGCCATGGTGTTATCTCTAGACACCCTACCAACTCTTTTCCACCCCGTCGTGATCGCCGTTGAAGGCTTCCGGTCCTATCTCTGCCAGGAACTGTCGGTATTCCTTTTGATATTTCTTCATATGATCTTTTGTCACCACATACAACCAAGATGTCAACGTCGCTCGAAACCACGGGAAAAATTTTATGAGGCTCCATACGTGCCTGACTTCCATCGGTATGGCGAATACCTTGCATGCAGTCTCAAACAACTCAAGTCTCCTGCTGTAATCTATAGCGTATATTGATTCTGCCGTCGGTGTCTTCGACTCCCGATAATTCGTCACATTTTCTTCGATCCATCGCAAAGCCAGCATTGTGCTTACCACCAAGAGTGTCACCTTTTGCACGTAATCTGGTATGTGACATTCGACCAGAATGAACGAAAATGCAGATTCGGCGATTTCGAATAGTTAGCAGCTAACCTTCCGAATTGACAGTTTTGAGAGGTTAGTGACGTTATTGGGACGATTAGTCAAACGGTGAAGGTCAAGATATTGTGTTATTTTGAAATTTTAAAAACTCGAACTGAGAAGTCACACTTCTGAGAAACGGCAAAAACCGCTATTTTGGAAGAAAACCAGAAGAAAATCAGAACAACAATAGTTGCGATAGTGATAACTACGAGAATTGCGATAGAAAAACAGCAACGAATAGCAGAGTTACCAGAGACCGTTCCGAGTTGCAACGATTGTGTCGCTACAATCGTTGCAAGGCCGTTCACAACAACGCGTGAAGGGTGGAAAAGCAGCCTTCCGGAAGGAAGATAAGGTTGTTATTTCCCCGGATTCAGGAATCCGGAGGGGTCTCGGGATTTGAACTGAAACTGTTTTATATAAACTTTTAGCTTCCCGGTTATGTCTTGAATTGAATTTATATAACGTTTGAATTCATTTTACGACGATGAGAAGCTAGGAGTTAGGTGAAAGTGTTGATCCATCTTCGACGGAGATGATGATTTTTATCTACTGAACAAAAACAATAGTAATATAAAAACTAGTAGTAGCCCTGTTTTAGGAGTGACCTCGTGATCTGAGGATACTAAAACCCAGCCATGAGCTCACTAATATGGCATGTAAATAAGTTAATTTGAGCGTTCTGGCCGAAGCCGGAGAACAGTAACGTTTTTGTCGACCCGATGTTAGAAAGACCACCAAAAGAACTGGTTTTGGTAAAGACGGTGAAAAGCATGTAGAGCTTAGTTTAGACGCTGGCCAGTTCTTTTATAGCTAAGCTTTATTTTCCGTCGATATGTACTTCCGGGCGAATGTTACATAGATGTTTTTATGGCGCTCCTGGGTGTTATTCTTTTTTAACATCATGACCGGCAGAACCGTTAACGAGCACTCCGCGCCGAGCGGATGCTCATAATAACGCCCTTAATAGGCCCTAACGGCCAGGGTGGAAGGTTAGTTCGGAACCCGAAAGAGTTCCGGATTACCGTGAATAGCTTTTTAACCTAGTTAAGACCGAAAGTTCACGTTCCAGGAAGTGTGGGGGGATTGGCCGTCCCCTCGTTCCCTGAGAGGTTTGTGACCAAAAACACTTAAAGGTATTTAAAAAACCAAACAAAAGGTAGTATAGTACCCAAGAAAAACAAAAAATATAAAAAATAACCGAAAAAACCAAAAACAGTAAAAAAAAAAGTTTAAAAAAAAATCAATAGAAATCATCCCCCCAGACAAGATATGATCCGATCCTCCCGTTTGTTGTTGATAGATATATTGTTGTTACAGGCATTTATATCAATCAGGATCATTACGATCATTTTTGTAGCCTGTTTGTGAGGCTTGTACTCTAGGGTTGTTTGAGTATTTAAGCACGTTAATGCTAATTTACGCTCAATCCGGAAGGTTCTGCTGATTTGCGCTCAATCCGGCGGTGTCTTGGGAGAAGACTGATCCGGCAAGCAGTACAAGGAGCAACAAGGAAGGGCTCAACGACAACGATAGTCGACTGTTGGGTATCATTAACAAGTTTTGTATCCCTTTTGGTACAAAAAGTAAGATAGTAATCTGTGGGGGGCTCGACAGTGCTAAACTGTAGTGACCCTTCACCGAACTGCGAAAATCCGAGTTAACACCTAGATTCGGATATTGAACAAACCCGGAGGGGTATAGTATTACTTATATTATTGCTAATATAGCCTATATTAAAACTCCTATATCGTTTTTCAGTGAAAAACACAGTAAGCGGACCGGTTTTTAGTGTCAAAATAGCGGTATTTTGATCCCCCCACAAATCGCGAGTTTTAAAATTTCGATATTTTTTGAAACGGAAAAAAGCGCTAAATTAGTGAGTTACATCGTAACTGTGCTAGTATAATAGGTAGAACCGGTTGAGTTTAGTTCAGAAGTGGTTGGAACTATTTTGGTACCAAAAACCGATTTTTCGCAATTTTTGAGAAAACGGAACACTACAAAATCAGAAAAGTTTTTGAAAGTTTTGAGTTAGGACAGTAAAATAGTTGTTCAGACAACGTCCACTAGTGAATCTACCGGTTTTAAGACCCGTTTCCCGATAGCCTTCCGGATTACAGAGAAATCGAACTTAACGTGTTTGGTTCAGTGGATTCATCAATCCGGAGGGGTCCAAATAGCAACATTTTTCGCAAATTTTTCAACTAAAGCGTTTCAGATCGGGTTTTTTTACTTTGAACTAGAAGAGTATAGGCCTTTTGAGCTCGGATCAATAATTTTTAGGTCGAAAAGAACAGAATTGCGGAAAAAGTTAGTCGGAACCTATAAGTGAGAAGGTTTTTGAATTTAGATAAAAGACGTTTTGGTTAATAACTTTGGAACGACTGTACAGATCTAGTTGATCTTGGTACCATTAGATCAGAAATTAGCTGAGCTTACTAATAGGAACAAAAATTATTCGAAAAACTAAGCGTGGAATTTTTTTGAGATTACACCCCTACCAAAGGGGTAGAAATGGTTGAATAAGGCAATTTTACGCTGTTCTAGAAGAATAGGGAAGGCTAAAGGCACCAGAAAACCTTGATAGAGCTAAAATTAGGCTAGCGATAAGACACTTCACCGTTAGCGTGAATGGTCAAATAAGAGGCTTAACTTCAATCCGGAAGGGTCAAGGGAAGGACCACTTACCCTTCCTAGTTGATACAAACAGCATAAAAGCATCGGAGAACGTATCCGGAGGGGTACAGGTTGAAAATCAAGGAAGTCTCCGAA